TTTTTTTTTTTTTTTTTTTTTTTTGTGGCTGGCTAGTATGGGAATCAGAACCCATGACCTTGGGATTGTAAGGCTGTGCTCCAACCAACTGAGCTACCCAGCCAGCCTCTTAAATTTTACATTGCTTCTTACAGAAGTTAATGAGCTTTATAGGCCCTTGCCTGATACTATCATCTCTCCTGAACTAAAATACTATTAAAGTATAAGTAGTCCCCTAAAAAATTGATAATTAAAAAAATAATAATTTTTGCTAGTTTTACCTTCAAAGTCATACAATCCATCATGGCAAATAATCATAAAACACTCACCAATTTATCATACTTTTTATTTAATGTATCCCCCTATCTTTATTATCCCTCAGGAGGGTATTATCTATGTATGTGGGATGGGGGTGGGAGGGGTAGGTGGGAAGGAATGGGCATGGTGGATGAAAGGAGGGGAGAATTAGGAGAGAAAAGAAGTAAGCAACTTTCTTTTTCAGGTCACTATCAGAGGGCTAGGACAATTAGTGGGCAAGTAGCAATTTGTTAAACTAACTCAATTCCTTTGAGTCTTTGTAACTGACAAACTGCTGAGATAGTCTTTTTGTTAACATATTATTTAGGTTCCAGACAAGTCTTTCCAGCCTGAGAGTTGTCAGTCATTTTGAGGTGTTTTGTCTTCTAGGTGTGATTCATTATTCCATTCAAATGTAAATTCCAGGAGGGCAGGAACTTTGAAGTTCATAGCTATATCCCAACATCTAGAAAAGTACTTGGCACATAGATATTTAATAAATATCTGCTAACTAAACAAATAAAGTACGCACTGATTTTGGAGCTTAACTAGTTACTGGGGCAAAGTATGAAGTTCTCATCCAAGGACTGTATGAAGGTCTGATGATCTGAAATATCCAATCATGGCTTTAGTTTCTAGCACTTGGCGGACTAAATACTCTGAATGATTCTCCCAGTGGAAATAACTGAAATGCTAAAAAATAATAAAATAATCTTTTAAAATGTACTGCAGAGGTGCCATGAAAATAAAGAATATACAGATACTAAAAAGAAGTAAAAACAGGAACTCTGGTGTGGTAGGCAGCCGTTTGGCCCCAGTGATCTCTGTGTGCTGTTTTACTCCAGTGACTACGTTTCACTACATGGCAAAGAACTTTGCAGATGAAATTAAGGTTACTAATCAGTTGACCTTGAAATGGGGAGATTATCCAAGTTGGACTAATGTAATCATGAGCCGTTAAAAGCAAAAGAGGAAGGCAAAAGAGTTTGTGAGATGTGGCAGAGAGGGAAGTCAGAAAGATTCAAAATGTAAGAATTTGGCCCACCACTGCTGGCTCGAAGATGAAGGGAGCCATGAACCAAGGAATATGGGTGGACTCTAAAAGAAGATAATGATCCCCTAGCTGACAGCCAGCCAGCAAGGTAATGAGGACCTCAGTCCTGTAACTGCATGGAATTGAATTTTACCAACAACATGTAGGTGTCTGAGAGTGGATTCTTCTGCAGAGTCTCCAGATAAAAATCCAGGCCGGCTACTACTTTGATTTTGGCTTCTAAGCAGAGAACTCAGGTGAGCATGCCCAGACTTCTATCCTACAGAACTGTAATATAATAAATGGGTGTTGTTTTAAGATGCTAAATTTGGGGCCGGCCCGGTGGCGCACTGGATAAGTGCGCCGCTTGGGAAGCGCAGCAGCACTCCCGCCCGAGGGTTCGGATCCCACATACAGACCGGTTCCCGCTCACTGGCTGAGCGAGGCACGGGGGCAACACCGAGGGTTGCAATCCCGTTGCCGGTCCCCGGTCCGGTACGGGGGCAACACTGAGGGTTGCGATCCGTTGCCGGACACGGAAAAAGACAAGACAAAAAAAAAAAAAAAAAAAGATGCTAAATTTGTAACGGAAGCAATAGAAAACTACTACATAAGCTAACCGAGTAAAAAGGCTGGGTTTTACCTTGAGGGTTTCTGCTAAATCCTGGAGATCTTAAGCTTCACCTATGATGAATGCAGGAGGTGAAAGGGACAGGAGATTAAAGCCTAGGTCCACCCAAGGTGGGGAAATGTAATAGGAAACCCCTGTATAAAATTGGAAACTCAAAAGATCACACCCTCAGTATAAGGACACATGGCGACTAAAAAGCCATTCTGAAATAAATTTCAAAGCATATGAAATTTAACTAAATTCCCATGAACTATAAAAGAACAAATTATGAGATTTCTTTCATTATTCTCTCTACATTTTCTTTATTGTATGTATAGACAACTTTAATGCCATGTCAAGTATAAGTAAAGAACTATGTATGACAATTTCTACATAGTAAATTTACTGTCATTTAAGAATAGGCATATCAAGTCTACTGTTTTAAGACTGGAGGCAAATAACCAAAGACTGGAAAGTTTTCAGCTACTGTGATACAGTTTATGGCAAGAAACCTTTTGGAATTCAGGAATGAGAAGCAGTGCTCTAAATGATTCTGAGAGGCACTAAGTGTAGTGGAAAGATCATATTAATTGAGATAGAAAGGAGGATGCATATTGCTGTCTCTAATTTTCTGTTATCCAGTCAAAAATTTAAGTTAAAAAGATTAGGACTCCTGAAATTCCTTTAGCCTCTTTATGCATGAAACCACACATTACCACCACAAAATCTCATTGCTATTAATCATTTTCAAATCAGTTAACTGTACAGGTAATGGTAAACCTGAATTTAGAATCAATAATCAATTTCTGTTTGTTTTTAAAAAATTGTTTTTACCTCTTTTTTATGACATGAGCACAAAAGCACACTGTCACTCATATCTAAATACATGGTGTTAACTAAAACATACAGTATCTAAGCACCTTCATTATACACAGATCTGCACAAAGGCAAACTCATTTTATGCTCTAATCACTGAATTTTAAGACAGAAACAAAAAAATAGAATTGGTTTCTCAAACCTGTTTTGATGTGAATATCTTCTCATGTCTTCTGTTTTTTGAAACTCCCTAATAGCTACTGGCTTTATCGGTGAACCCTTGACCAAAACAAGCAGAAATAAATCAATTTAACATATATATCTAGTACACTGTGATTACACAATTCACATTCAACTTGACATTTAAAGATTTATATATTACATTAAAAAATATTTTAATGGAATCCTCAAATGTGAACTTTATGTTTAAAAGCACTATAGGTGATACTATTGCTTTGATAATAAAAAATATTCATAATCCACAAACATTTATTTTTTAAAAAAATAGATTTCCTTCTCGCTGTATTATATATATTATAGTGACATAGTAATATTTATCGAATGATAGCTAGAGTTGGAAAGGATCTTAGGTTATCTAGTGCAAACTTTCATCTAGGACAGAAATTCCTGCCTATTCTACCTTGACATTTGCTAAGTTTCTCTTGAATATTTCTAGTAATAGGCAGTTCATTGGGGAGATTACATTTCTTTGCTTCTTTACCACCACAAACTCTCTCTTATCTCAGTCACACAAATAATCCTGGGGATGTTGGTGAGATAAAGATAAGACAAAAAGTAATTTCTATTTATGTATATAAATACAGTATTTAAAAGAGAAACATTATTGGCAATTTCACTTATAAACTGTAGAGTAAAGGTCATTTCCAAAAAGCATTTTGAGGAAAATTAAACTGGCTTAAGAGATACAGACCACACACTGAAAAATAAAACAATAAATTAAAGGTACAGGCTTAAAGGTTATCACAGGATATATAAGGATACTTCAAAAAGTTCACAGAAAGATTCTTACTATCTTTCGGTTCTATTTTTCCACAAACTTCTTGAAGTACCCTCATAGTTTGCCAAATGAGAATCTCTAGAAGCAATAAAATCTTACTTAAACATCAAAAATAATCATAAAAATGGGTAGCCTTCAAAGGAAAAACTTTTGCAAAAAGGATACCTAAAAATCAAATATAAAACTATTTATAGTCTACCTTCAAGAAATAGGTATACCATATATAACTAGAAAATCTGGTGAATTACTCCAATGGGATAAAAGCTGATTGCCTTAAAGTCTGGGCATAGGGATCATAGCCTATGGCACAGAATCATAAAGACTACTATACATAAGTAATATATAGCTTGCATTAAAAAACATATTATTACAAAAGAACTAATATAATGAATTAAAGAAATGGTACTATAATTTTTCATAGTAGTATAACAGGCATTTGCAATTTTACTAAAGATACCCCACCTTTACAGCTTAAACTTAAAATGATAAAAGAGAAAAGCCAAAAGAAAAAAAAGGAATCCTTTAAAGATTATAATGTGCATCATTAATTTTAATTTTATTGCAAAGTATTTGCCCTTTGTTCCAGTAGGAAGGCTCATAATTTGAACTACAAGAGGTTTTTATCAGTCACCTGGTACATTGCTATCTCTGAGCTATAGGACTTTGATTCATATAACTTAATCCAACTTTAAAATACAAGAATGTCTTCTGAACACCAACAAAAAATACTGTGTTCAAAAGCCTTCAGATAGGAAAACCAAAGGCTTTTTACATGTCCCACTTGAAGTGATTATTTTCTATTTCTAAAGGGCTACACATATCAGTCTTCAAGAAAGCCCCTAGTCTTTCTCAAATAACCCCTGCTCAGAGCCTGGGACCAACTCCAGACATAATCTCACATACACTAAAGTGGAGCCATTTTTTTATGCTGTCTAGATATACTGAAGAATGCTATTCTACTTGAGACCCCTGGGGGAATTGGCAGAGATTCTGCAGTGGGATGAATGTTCATTTGTTTTCTAAAGCAACTCAATGCTCCACTATAACAGACACCCAAGAATTTTAATAGCAAATAATTTATATTCTTTGTGGCTTCGCATAAAAGCTCTAATACCTACGTTCATTAAAAAAATTCTATGGTTAGGTTTTTATGTTGCCACAAAAGTCAAATTTTTGGTTTAATTCTTAATTATTGATCAAACTATCGTTTACCAGTTAATAACAATAAAACAAAACAATGAAAAGCATCATATTCCTTTGTATCTTCTTCAACAGCCTTAGGATTCCTTTTATTCCTTCTTCAAAAAAAATTTTTTTTTTTTTAAAAAAGATGACCGGTAAGGGGATCTTAACCCTTGACTTCGTGTTGTCAGCACCACGCTCACCCAGTGAGCAAACCGGCCATCCCTATATGGAATCCGAACCCGTGGCCTTGGTGTTATCAGCACCGCACTCTCCCGAGTGAGCCACAGGCCGGCCCTTTTCTTCAAAATTCTGAAATTTGTCTTCTTACTTGAAAAATAAACCTAAACCCTACTTGAGACTATTGTCTGATTTTCTGAATAAATCTGAAAAATTTAGGACTGAAATCAGAAGTGAACATTAAAATGATTAGTTAGGCCTAAACCAACAAATCACTGTCATGACCAAAATTTATTTTATAACCAATTGTTTTTATAATGGGATAGCAACATATTTAGGCTTAAATGCGTTTACTACCTCATGAGAGATTCGCCGCTGTTCAATATATGCCATAAACTGTGAACTCAGGCTGTCTGAGTCCAGTCCCTTGGAGTGTCTCACCTCGTCTTCTTCTTCCTCTGCAGTACAGCTGTCAATGTAGTCAATCTGATCCAGATCATGTTCCACTATACATACCATACACACACACACACCATGAAAAACATTCAAATTAGACAGCCAATTAAAAGACATTTACTTAAATTCTCTCCTTTTCCCTAACATTTTCTATTCTGAAAGTGGGAGGAATAAGAAGTTTAAATTACTAAGCCTTTATTATTTAGTACATGACCACTCACAAAGATAGTGTCCAAAAAAACCTTAGTGCTAATTAACTGAAGAATGCAGTAATTGATAGTAATTATCGAAATGTAGACTTCTAACATTTCTTTTTCTTTTGAACAGCTCCTTACTGTTTTAAACAAGACAGTTTGGGCTTGTGAGATAAAGGGAGAGGAAGATTAAATTTTAAAGACTGAAAGATGCATCTTCTTTTAGGACTTCTTTTCATGTTTTAGATTTAGGGCTTAAAACTATCTCTTTGGGGAGCTGGGAGGCAGAAAATGTAACATAGTCAACTCAAAAGAAAGTAAAAGGCAATAAAAAAGAGAAAGATAAAAGTAAACTGACTTGGAGAGAAAGAAATAGTTACTATTTCTCTTTCTGCAACTGTTGTCAATTGAACTTTAAAAAAAAACCATAATGAGAACAAAGATTTTCCTATTTAGAAAATTACTTTCTAGAGGTCAACACTGTAGATAATTTACAGCAGTTTATGGAGATAAGGAAACCATTTGAGAAATTTCTTCTTCACAAAATAAGAGTGAGGAGAAGCATATAAATAAGATACAGCAACATCATTACTCATATTTCATCTGGCAAGTGTGGGAATACCCCATTATCTTTAAGTTTAAAAGTACTTGTTTTTAACAACTACTTAAAATGGCACACGAGGGAAAAAAACCCCCAAAACCTGCTACTGAGCTGGTTTCTCCAGGGATGCATTAAATCCTGGCCCATTATTTCATGATGTTTTACGGACTGCCTAAAAGTTATAGTTGCTGGAGACAGTGAGTTTGGAGAAGTCTATTTCCTAATTTAGTCTTCTGATTCAATTATTTTTAATATTTCTGTAATTGCAATTAACATAAAAATGAATTTTGTGTTATTAGTTTTATTAATAGCTAAAATAAGGATGGAAAGGCTATATATTTATATCCACATTAGAAACTACGTACATAGGGGCCGGCCCGTGGCTCACTCGGGAGAGTGCGGTGCTGATAACACCAAGGCCCCGGGTTCGGATCCCATATAGGGATGGCCGGTTCGCTCACTGGCTGAGCGTGGTGCTGACAACACCAAGTATAAGTAATTTTTAAAAAGAAAGATACAACAATCACAATAATATATTGAACTTTCAAAAGAAGAAAACAGAACTGAGGTTACCAGAGGTGGGAAAGGAGGAGGGGGAGAGGGAATATGGGAGGAATTGGTTACATTGTATAATGTTGAACATACTAATTATCCTGATTTGATCATCACATATTGCATACAGGTAATCATATAGGGATGGCCGGTTCGCTCACTGGCTGAGCGTGGTGCTGACAACACCAAGTCAAGGGTTAAGATCCCCTTACCGGTCATCTTTTGTAAAAAAAAAAAAAAAGAAACTACGTACATAAATCCATGTTTTTCAATGTGCTACAACTTTTCTTAAGAAAGTAACATCGCTTCTTCATGCTATCTAGACCAGTGTGGTCCAAGAGAAAAAGAATACAAGCCATGAAAGCGAACCACTACGTAATTTTAAATTTTCTAGTAGCCGCATTTTAAAACAAAAAAGAAAAAAGATGACATTAATTTTAATAATATTAGATTTAATAATATTGTCTAATAAATCTAAATATCATTTCAACATATAATCAATATATTATTTTATATTCTTTTTTTCATACAAATTGTTCAAAATCTGATGTGTACTTTATACTTACAGTACATCTCAATTCAGAAAAACCACATTTCAAATGCTCATTGACCACATGTGGCTAGTGGTTACCATATTGGACAGTACAGATGTAGACATTATTTGAAGTCTTAAATAAACTGATGGGGAAAGATATCTCTTATGAGAGAAAAAATTTAAAAGAAGACTACTGAAATGTGAATGGAATGGCAAGTGACAGGTGTAAAGAAGAATTTAAAAAGATGGTAAGGACAAGAAAGACAGCAAATTATTTCAATTATTAACTGAAATAATCATTTACAGATGAAAGCTCATGTCAGATAATATAATACATTTCCGCAAAATCAAAGTCATTTCTCTTGTATAACTGGCCCTCAAAATTTAAACATTAAGATTTGGTAATTTAAACTAAAGCAATCTAGAATGGAACGCTAAAATCAAGAGTCTGCTTCAGAAGCACAAAGAAGCAGAAGGAATTCTGCTTGTTAACAAACTATAAAAACAAGAACAAATTTGTAAATGCCAGAATAAGGAAAACTGGGATTCAGATGCCCCAAAGAGCATAATTCCAGATGAAAGAAAAGGTAACCACTAAGAAATGCACTGAACTCCTGAAAGAGATCAAATAATCACACAGTAGGAATCTTAAAAAGAGACTGGAACTTCAAAAGATGATCATGGTTTAGCCAAGATTAACAAACATCTATTCCAGGTGAACTGTCTCTAATAAAGTTTCCTCCTAAAATAAAAATGAGGAAACATTATATTTTAACTGAAAGCCTGAAAATAGAGAAATTGAAGTTTCATCCCAATGGAAAATTTTTTTTCAATCATATATGAAAAGAAGTGTTTAAAAGAAGAGTGAAGAAGCTACAGATACACAAAGTAGTGGATATGAAAAAGACTACTTTAAAAAGTTAAAGTGATTATAAAGACTTCAGATGTCACTGGAATTATGTTTACCTCCACCATTTGTTACTACTAAACTGTTGCGATTCTCTTGGTACTGGCTTTCTCTTAGTAGTCTTTGTTCTTTAGTAATCTCTGCTACTCGAAGAGGCAGATCTGAAAATTCATCTGCAGGCTTAAAAAAATTGCAGAAATATTAAAAAAAAATCATTTCAAATTTTAGACAACACGGCAGGTATAATATAAACTCATTAAAATTTATATTTAAGAAGAAACAACCAAAAAGCCCTGGAGATGAACTCATTGGTGATGGTTGCACAATGATGTGAATATAGTTAATGCAACTGAATCGTATGCTTAAAATGGTGAACTTTATGTTACGTATATTTTACAACAATTAACGAAAAGAACAAATAGATGGGTATTCGTGACTATAAATATAAATGCATTTAAAGTCTCTTTGTATATGTACCTGTATGGATACAGCCACACTTATGCACACATCCATCCAGACACACACATTAAGTAACCCCAAACTGCAAATGGGCTGTGGTTTAAAATTAATTTGCTATGGACTCCCAGTGAAACAATGTTATAAATGGTAGGTTACTAGTCTTGTTAATAAAGGCTTATTTTATCATTTAATCCAATTTATAGCTAAAATATTATACCTTAGTAATTTAAAAAAGCAGAAAACATAATACCAATAATTAAATAAAACAGAAAAATGATATAATTAGCTAAGAAAGTTATTTATCTTGAGCATATGGATATTCTTCACTAAGGTTCTCATTTCTTTACCCATCAGCCTATAGTCCTATTTGTTTTCTCACCTTCTAGCATCACTTGTACCACCTCTGCTTGAGATTACAAAGCCCTTCAAATTATACACTTCAGTTTTAACTGTCTTAGCTCCTGTTTGGCTTTCCAGGATATGAAAGTATTTATATGAGACAATGAGATAACAAATGTAAAAATGCACAGGGTAAAAAAGACAGTAAAAAGAACGAATACCATTTTTAAGAGTATGGGATTTTTGCCCCTCCCCTGACTTTTCTATATTTTATGTAATGAGAAATTGAATCTAATTAAGACATTTTCCATTTTCATCATTGTATTTTCTCTTAATCAAGAGTTATAGTGTGTGGTATAGAAGAAAAACTTACTTCATTCCCTGACCATCTCTTATCACCACTGTCCACACTATTGAAACCTGAATCAAGGGCTCCATAAGGGCGACCTGAGTACAGTTCTTCATGGCTGACAAAAAGAGACTTCAGTTGTTATCACAAAGTTTGATATTTTAAAAATGAACATTTGAAATAAACCAGGTGCAATATTACTAATAAATACTCTCATGGCACACAGTCACTTAATTATAGGAACAAAATGGTCATTCTTTAAACTTTTTAATATGAAAAACTCCAAACAGAAACAAAGTAAACAAAATAGTATGAGCCCCCATTGGTACTCATTATCTAGCTTCCAAAATATCACCATTCTGCCATTCTTGTTTAATCTATGCCTTCACCCCCTCCACATGCCCTCTCAATTGTTTCAATAGTACCCTTTTTGTGAGGTAAAATTTACATACATTAAAGTGCACATATACCTTAGCCATATAATTTTGACAACTTTATAATGATACTTTGCCAGAAATTTCACATGCATCCCTTCCCAGTTAATTCCTCTCGATGAGCTACTGTGGGCTCCTGAGAGATTAACTACCATCTGATTTTTTTCACTTTAAGATTAGTGTGGAAGGCTGAATAACAATCTCCAAAGATGTCTCTGAAACCTGTGAGTATGTTACCTTACGTGGCAAAGGGAAATTAAGGTTGCAGATAGAAATAAGATTGCTAATTAGCTGACTTTAAAATAGGGAGGTTGGGCTGGCCGGTTAGCTCACTTGGTAGAGCGTGATGCTGACACCAAGGTCTAGGACGCAGATCCCTGTACCGGCCAGCCACTAAAAAATTTTAAATTAAATTAAATTAAAAATCAGTATGTATACACACACACACACACACACAATTTTTAAAACTCATTTTCTGTTGATGGACATCTAGGTTGTTTCTAGCTTTTGGCTACTGTGAATAAAGCTGCCATGAACATTAGTTAAGTACGGACACTTGCTTTCATTACTCTGGGTAAATACCTTGGAGTAGAACAAATAGGTTATATGGTACTGTAAGTTTAACTTTTTTAAAACTGTCAATCTGTTTTTGAAAGTAGCTACACTATTTTAAATTCCCACCAGCAATGTATTTGTGTTCCAGCTACCAATGTATGTATTGTCAGTCTTTAATTTTAGCCATTCTCATGGGTGTAAAGTGATATCTCACTATCTCACTGTGGTTTTTTGTATTTCTCTAATGACTAGTATTTTGTATTTCTCTGATGACTAGATATTGACTATCTTTTTGTGTGCTTATTGGCCATTCATATTACCTTTTATAAAATGTCTGTTCAAATCTTTTGCCAGTTTTTATTTAATTAAGTTAACTAATCAATTAATTTGATCATTACACAGTGTAAACATTTTTTGTGGCCCTTTACCAATTTCTCCCTAACCTCTCCTCCCTCTCCTCCTTTCCCACCTCTGGTGTTCTCAGTTCCATTCTCTCCTTTTGAGAGTTCAAGGAATTATTGTGATCATTGTACTTTTTTTTCTTTGCCCATTTTTAAATGCAACATCAATGAATCTCAAAAATACTTTGCTAAGTAAAAGAAGCCAGAGACAAAATGTTACATACTGTTTGATTTCATTTATATAAAATTCTAGAAAAGGCAAAATTACATGCACAGAAACCAGATCAGTGGTTGCCTGGGGCTGGAGATAGAGGAAAAGGACTAACTGAGAAGCAAAATCAGTGATGGAAATGCTGCACGAGAGTACTTCAAAAAGTTCATGGAAAAATAGAATTGAAAGATAATATGAATCTTTCCATTAACTTTTTGAAGTACCCTCATATATCTTGTATATACCAGTGGTTTCATGACTGTATCCATTTACCAAAATTAATTGAAGTGTACACTTAAAATGGATAAATTTTACTGTTTGTAAATTATACCTCAATAGAGCTGTTAAAAAAACCAAAACTGCCCAACCATTTTGCCAAAATAGATGTACCTTTTTTACATTTCTATAAGCTATGTATAAGAGCACTGGTCACTCCACATCCTTACCAACATTTGGTGTTCTCAGTATTCTTACTTTTAGTCATTCTAGTGGATGTGTAGTGATATCACATTGTGACTTAATTTGCATTGCCATAATGACTAATGATGTTGAGCACTGTTTTTGTGTGTTTAACTGGCCATTTATGTATGTCTCTTTGTGAAGCGTCTGTTTTTTGTCCATTTTTCAATTGGGTTGTCTCTTGATCATTAGGTTGCACGTATTCTTCACATGTTCTGGTCACAAGTCTGTAGTCACAGACATGTTCTGCAAATATTTTCTCCCAGTCTGAGATTTGCTTATTCATTTTCTTAACATTTGCTTTTCACAAGTAGATGTTTTTAATTTTGATGAAATCTAATTTATCAATTCTTTTATGGTTAGTGCTTTCTGTGTCCTTAGAAATTGCTGCCTATCCCAAGTCACATAGGCAGATTAGAAGAAGAACGCAGATATTCTTTTATACTTCTTCTAAAAGTGTGATGGCTTTAGTTTTTGCTTACCCTTAAATATATTTTTTAAAGTTAGCTTAACTAGAATTCTAAAACATGATAAATCCTATTTTTAAAAAATGGTCTATTACTATTTTTTCTAATTAGCCTTCCTAAGTTGAAAAGCAACTTTCAATGGTACAAATTTATTTTATTTATTTTAAAGATGACCGGTAAGGGGATCTCAGCCTTTGGCTTGGTGTTGTCAGCACCACGCTCAGCCAGTGAGCCAACTGGCCATCCCTATATAGGATCCGAACCCATGGCCTTGGTGTTATCAGCACTGCTCTCTCCTGAGTTAGCCACTGGCTGGCCCTCAACGGTACAAATTTAAAATAACGTTCTTCTGGTGCTGAATTTTGTATTCCATATATTCTTACACAGTTCATGTTCATAATTTTTTAACAAGTTATAATATCATGCTGTCAAATGCAACAGAATTTAAGGTACAGGGAAAGAGCAATGCACTTGGTATTTTACAGAACAGGAACCAGTTTTACTACTTACCAACTATTAGCTCACAGAAGTTACTTAACCTTTGTAAAATGAGGATAAACCATTTCTACTCACCTGCCATTCACATAAAGTGAAAACTTTATGTCAACTAAAACCAAAACAAACCCCTATGCGAATGTAAGTCAGTTTTTACAACTTGTCACTTATTTTATTGATAATGATTTTACTTTGTATGTAATAATATATAGACCTATTTGTCCAATATGCTAATTAAGCACTGATTATAAAGATCCCCAAACACCTTCTGGCTATCTTCATCGTTTTTCTATGCTCCCCCATAAAGATCATTTAGGGGGGAAAAAAAAAAAAGCCTCTTACTCTAATTATAAAATTACTTTTCTAAAAGAGAAGCAGTTAATTTTCCCCGACTTTTTATTCTGAAAAAAATTCATGTCTATACAAAAGTTGGGAAAGTAGTACAATGGATATCTACATGCCCTTCACTCCAACTGTTAGCAGTTGAAATGTTCTATGTATAGTATCTCCATGATCTGTCTGCTTTGATACTTCTTTTAGAGTCCAGATCTTTTTTTTTAAAGATGACCGGTAAGGGGATCTTAACCCTTGACTTGGTGTTGTCAGCACCACGCTCAGCCAGTGAGCGAACCGGCCATCCCTATATGGGATCCGAACCCATGGCCTTGGTGTTATCAGCACTGCACTCTCCCGAGTGAGCCACGGGCCGGCCCTAGAGTCCAGATCTTTTTTTTTTTTTTTTTTTTTTTTTTTTTTTTTTTTTTTCCGTGTTTG